AGCAAAAATGGGAGCTAAAAAGAGGGCTCAGCTACTAGGAGCACCTGCTGCTCTTGCAGGGGAGCTGGATTTGATTCCTAGATCCCACAAGGTGGTTCATAACCCTATGTTACTCCAGTGCCCAGGTGATCATGTGCCCTCTTGTAGCTGCCACAAGCACCAGACATGGATGTAATGCACATACAGACATACAGCCAAACTCATACACATTAAAAAAAAATTTAAAAAGCGGGGGGGGGCAGGAATAGAGAGAGACCTGGTTAACATGACCCCAGTCAAAGGATGGTAGTGGAGCATGCCTTTAACCCCAGAACTCTGGAAGCAGAGGCAGGCAGATCCCTGAGTCTTAGGTCATCCCCGGTCTACAGAGTGACTTCTAGGATAGCCAGGGTTACACAGTGATAGGGGATGCCCTTCTGTGTATATGTTTCTCTTATTGGTTGATGAATAAAACACTCATTGGCCAATAGAGGCAGAAAGATAGTCGGGACTTGGAGATGAGGAGAATTCTGGGAAAGGTAGGTAGAGAGAGACCACGGAGAGATGCCATGTAGCTGCCAAAGGAGTAACAGGTCCAGACATTCTCCAGTAAGCCAAGGCCACAAGGAAATACATAGATTTACAGAAATGGGTTAACAATTAAGACAGAGCTAGCCAATAAGAAGCCCTAGTCATTGGCCAACAGTTTAATAATTCATATATGTCTCTGTGTGCTTATTTGGAGCTAAAGATAGGTGGGACCTGATGGGACAAGAAACTTCCATCATCAACAAAAACACAGCAAAACCCTGTCTCAGAAAAAAAAATTTTTTTAATTAACAAAAAACCAAAACAAAACAAAGTTGACTCCTGTGTGATGCAATGGACAGAACACATCACCTAGAAGGTATACTAGTCAAGTCTTCATTTAGCCAGACTGTAGAACTATCTTCAAATTTACAGGAAACAATGGCTAGAAAAACAGGCAAAAAAAAAAAAAAAAAGACACCAAGAGGCACCGTCGAGTGAGTCACACTGTAGCTCTTCTGTGGACATGAAGCTGTGTTCCCTTCTAGCATCAGGCAGGAAAAAAAAAGTTCTTCTAGGCAAAAACACAGATGCAGTTGTCCTGGCCCGTGCACTGCTGTACTGGATTCTTATAATAATCAGCAGTAAGGATAGTTTTGAAACAAAGAGAGTAATAACTGCCAGTGTAGGAGATGGCAAGGACAGGATGGGGACAGGAAGAACGCAGGGCACCTGGAGGAGAAGAGGGAGGGTGTAGAGAGAACACCAGAGCGTTACAGGAGGAAAGCACCACACACAAGAAAGCTAAATGGAAGCCAGCAAGAACACAGGACTGTGAAGGCAAAGTGAGCCCTAGTGAGTACACAGCGCCAGGGTCCTAATGACAGTGGCAGGGACGCGGCAGGCCCAGAGCCATGTGGAAGACCTCAGCTATCTAGGGTGTCTTCAGGTGTAAATGTCCAGCCACCCCCTGACCTTGCCCTTGGCTCCTGGAACCCACTCCACTCCCCACTCAGCCAGCTCAGCCCAAGGCCTTCCCTTCTCACCCTTCTAGAAACGGACTCACTAACTGGAGAGAGCGCCCAGTGGCCTGCTTGCACTGCAAGGCAGTCCTGGGGTTCATCCCTGCTGTTCTTGGGTGTCTTGAGGGCCATCCTCTGCCCACCCCAAGGGCCACCCAAAATGCACTGGGGGAACAATTTCCCTTCATTATCCTACCACTTCCCACTCCTCTCCTGTTCTTCTGCCTGCTTCCTTGATACCTTGCAGCTGGGAGAACTTCCATTTCCTCAGCTTTCCCACAAAGACAACACTCCCAAGCTCACAGGGCTGCTTCCAGGACTAGAAGTGGCTGCAGGGAAAGGGACACAGCTTATGGAAAGGGCATGGCCCTTATGTTTCCCTCCTGTGCCATGTGCCCAAGGGACTTGGGGTTAGACAGGTCCTTAATAGGCAGATAGGGATGGGTGCACAACAGATAATAAAAATAGCAAATGTTCCTATTGTCCACACTCCTGACCTGATCACCCTGCCCCCAGACCAGCCTGACAAGCTCAAGGCCCCACAAAGCCATGCTTACCTCAAAGTTGTGGCCCCACCAGCTTCCCTATCTTTGTTCAAACTGACCAACCTTAAATTAGGAGATGAGGACATTTCAAACATCATCAAAACCAGCCCTTAAGTAAAGACTAGATTTTGGGTCCCTGCTCTGCAGGAAGCTCTTCCTGTATGCTTCTCCATCCCTAATAAAAGCCCCCTCTTCTGCTCCTTTCAAACAGTTAATTTCTGGTTTTCCCTGCTGCTACCTGTGATGCCTTTGAATTCCTGCCTTTTAATTCTTTAAGTGGCCCAGAATATGAACCCAATCAAGATTCCTAAGTGGCATCATGCCCATTTGGGTATTAAGAAAAAAAACAAATGAACAGAAACCCAAATTTTGGCATTAAATGAAGCCTTTTGTATCCTGGGAAGGTAGAATTACATGCTGGAGTCACCAAGTGCCTCAGACTGAGGCCTAACCTTATTTGCAGGACAAAGTTTCTACTAATTTTATAACTCTGTGAAAAATATTTTTGAACAGAAATGTAAATAGCCATTTAGAAGTCACGACAGATAGATTGGTTCTCCCCTGCCACGTTATTGGCAAGGATGCTCAGTATGTCTTTTCTTTTTAATTCTGGGGAAAGGTAAGGTGCCAATTTCTTCCCTGGACAGTGGAGACCCTCAGCCTTCTTAGAGCAGAGCCATCCTCACCACTAAGCCACCAAGGCTACCCCACCTTGCTCTCTGCACAGCAGAAAGAGGCAGGAGAAATGCAGCTTTCAAGCCTGAGTCCCTCTCCAGAAAATCCTGCCCCCAGGCTCTCAGGGCACTGCCTGGCAGCCTCCACTGCAGTGGTACAGGTTGCAAGGACTGTGATCACAGAGAACACTTCACAATTTGTCTCTAAAGAAGAAAAGCTGGTTTGATGCAGCTAAAGCCAGGAGAGATTGTGAGAGCTTTTTGCATGTGTGAGGCCAAACTAAAGCCCCTGCAAATCCCTGTGCTTTGATACAGGCCTGGAGAGCTAAGGGGAGGGGAGAGCTGAGGGGAGAGCAGAGCTGAGGGGAGGGGAGAACTTAGAGGTCCACTCAGCTTTCATCTTTCAAGCCATCATCATGACACAATCAGCAACTTTGGGAGCCTGCCTGGTATTCTCTCTTGGGCTCAGATGATGGGGCCAAAGACATCTCTTTTGATAACCCAATTTTGCTCTGAAGAGAAAAACAATTACCCAGTGGCCTCCTGAGTAGCTGCTATCAGTCATGCATCTTTCAGGTGTTAGTACAAGTAGTCATAGGTTTTTCTGAAGAGAAATGTAAAACTTTGCCTGGCCACCCAGACAATAGAAAAGAGCAGCTATTGCTCCAAACTAAGTGCCAGTGTTCCTAAAAAAGCTGGAGTTGAGAGGTCTTCTCTGGCATCTCCAGGATTAATGAACTGGAGAGGAACACCTACTTCAAGTACCTACTGCCCCTTCTGTGTTCCCTTCCAAACAGCCATGACAACCCCTGGCTTCAGCGGACACAGAGCCACCCAAAGAGGTGTGTGTGAGTTACTAGATCTGCTGCTGCTAGGAAATAGAAGTTAACAAAATGTGTTCTCAAAACTGCACTCCCACCGGGTGTTGGTGGCGCACGCCTTTAATCCCAGCACTTGGGAGGCAGATGCAGGTGGATCTCTGTGAGTTCAAGGCCAGCCTGGTCTAGAGCGAGTGCCAGGATAGGCTCTAAAGCCACAGTGAAACCCTGTCTTGAAAAAACCAAAACAAAACAAAAACAAAAAACTGCACTCCCAAATCTACTGGAGACATATAGCTATATATACCTATTCAAATTTAAATGAATGAAAGTGAAATAAACTGTAAAATCCAGGTTCTAGGTCACAGGTGCACAAGATGGCTGGTGACTATCATATGGGATAGAACAATGCAGAACATTCTACCATCACTGGTAGTCCACTAGTTGTACTACTACTGGACAACATTGTTCTAGATGCTTTTCTAGGTCACTCGGTCATTTAATGTCATCCACCCAGTCACCATGCCTGCTGCTGCTACACTGACCTGTTGGCTGGTAGTCAAACAGAAAGAAGCAAGGACCCTGCATAGGAAATTAAGACCTGTCTGTGCTTTATCATTGCCCCAGGCTTTAAATCATGCAGAGCCCACACATTCAGAACAGTGCATTCTCTATTCTAAGAATGCTTGCTTGGCACTGCACACATAATACAGAATCCAAACTCTATTCCCTGCCCTGCTAATACCTGAGAAGCTACACACCATCAAACCTGCTGTCAATGCCCCTATCAGGCTCTGCTAGATCCACAAGTTTGGTGTTACATCTCACTTCCTTAGGAGTCCTGCTGACTCACAACCCCACCGACCTGTCCATTCCAGCACACTGGCCCCACACCCCAAACTCAGTTCACCACCTTTACCCCAAACCCTTTCTCTGCTCAAAACCTTTCCCCACGGTGACGGACTTTTCCCCCTGCCTCAAAATCTGGCATCACTAGTGCTATTTCACACAGCAAAGGCCCAGAGACAAGCCCACATCTGGGCCAGAGTGCTGGGCACTTGAGGCCCAGGAGGCTTGGGTCCCAGGAACAGCTCACTGAGCCAGGTGCTGCCAGTGCTCCTGGCTATCAGCTCCAAGGTAATAGTGTCTACAAACCATCTGCACTTCTGGAGTGGCATGACCCCAGGGGGGAATTAACAGTCCCAGGTAGTCATCTCAAAAGCAACTAAGATGGAAGCTACCATCAGTGAGGCAAAGCCACCACCTTCATCTGAGAGGACACCAGGTCACTTCCCAGAGGGTCTAGCCTTTATGAGATCTGCTTAAGATATGTTAACTAGAAATCAAATGCTGGTGTTTATTGACCATGCGGCTTTCAGGATGGAAGAAGATGGAAAGAGCCAAGATCACGCGAACAAAAGGGACATTGCATACCATTGGCCATGGCAAGGTGGAAGATGGCGTTCACCAGCACACCGCCTTTCCGGAAATGGTCACTCATGTGCTCCAGCCAGCTGGCGTCCAGACTGCTCACTGTCTGGCCGTTCTTGGAGACCTGGAGGGGGATGGTGATGGGATAGTACTGCCGACACTTCTGCTGGCTCTTCGGTCTGTTGAAAAAGGCGAAGATCTCCATTTCTGTGGGGATTTGGAAAAAGGATGGAGAGAGAACAGGTTATCCCACAGAACAAATCTGCTAAACTGGGTTCAGTGCAATCTCCCTGGAGTCTGAGAAATGGTATTAGCTGTGAATCCCTGAGGCCACACTCTTGCCAGACAATAAAACTCCATTTCTAGCAGCAATTGAAGTTGCTTCAAGGGACGAGGACCTCAAGCAGTTGCACTTTGGATGGGGGCTGCAATGAGTTCTGTTTCATACACTGAAACTGAATTTGGCTGAACTCAAACTGAATTTGGGATCTTCCTGCCTCTGCTGATTGGGTGCTTCAATTACAGGAATATTCCACCACACTCAGTTCCGGGGGTTCTGGAGACTGAACCTAGCTCATGCACGTTTGGCAAATACAATACATCCCTAGCTGGGACTACGTCTCCAATGTGGAATATAATAGATGACTTACTTAAAATAGAAACTAATTTGCACTGTTAAGCAATTGGAAGAAGTATATTTCTAGAAATGCATACATAAGTATTTGCAAAGTAAATGTAATATAGTCTTAAAAACAACAAACAAACATAAAAGGAGATTCAAAAAAAGAAAAACACTTCTCTAATTCCAGGAACCTTTTTACATCCCTGAACTTGCTATTTATAAACTGCAGTAGAGTTTCCTGGGGCCAAACCCATAATACTCAATCAAGTACATCAAGTACATTGATATGTAAAAATAAATATGTTCCTGTAAATGGGGGTTCCTGCCTGGAGTAGCAGGTCAGCTCAATCAGCCAGGCAGGCCCTGGGTGTGAAGCTGGGAGCTCTGCTTCTTTCATTTATAGCCCAGAAATCAATAATCACATCCCCTCCCCCTGCCACTGATTTGCACCCGCTGTTCATGCTGCCAGCTGCGGTTAGTGGGAACCGCTGCCAGGAGCAAATACCTGGAATTTCGATCCAGGCTGGAAAATCTATTTTTGCACCATTCATTTAGTCGGGCTATCAGAGCTGGCCCAGCTTAGAAAGCTTTGCTTCCATAGGCTGGTGAGGAATATGCTCTGGCCGCCAAAGACACTGTTGGAGGTGATATGAAAATCCCACCACCTTTCAAACAGAAAACATAAAGGTCATAAAGAATGGTTGGCATTAGGAAAAAGGACAAATTATACGTGTGCTCCGGACATGGGACACTCTGGGGTGGAGGCTCTCAAAGTTCAGGATTTCGATGCTTTGGTGGTGTCTAAGCACTAGCTCGTGCGTGTGTGCACGCGAGCACGCATAAGTACACTGGAATGCACACACATATGCAAACACAACATTAGGCATCTCCTTTGCTGCTTTTTGAGATGCTGTCACTCACAAAGCTTGCCATTCAGGTTAGACTCCATGACCAGTGAACTTGCAGGCTCTGCCTACTTTACCCTGCAATGGTGGCTTTACAGGTATGTGTAGCCATACCTGGCACTTTACTTGGGTTTTGGGAACCCAAAGTCAAGTTGTCATGCCTGTACAACAAGCACTCTTATCCAGGGATCCAACCCCACATACACTGATTGCCTTAAAAAAAAAAAAAAAAAAACTGGCTCATTTTCCTTTTTTAATAAAAGGATTTAAAAAGAGAGTTTGCTTCTTGACCACATAAGCAAACCACTCCAGCTTGCTATACTGCCAGACAGGGCCAGGAAGTAACAGCAGCAAACATGCTCATCCTTGTAACACTTGAAAAGTTTCTCATGTAGGAGATGCTTTCTAGAACAGAGGAAATCCTCCAGCCCCATCTGACCAAGCACTTGTAAGGTTCCTGAGCCATGAGACCTGCTGTCATCAACAGTCAAACTGACAGGGAGTTTCAAGTTAGTCCATCCAAAGGAACCAGTGCTGTCTTTGGAAACTGCCGCCTGGATTGTGTGCGACAAATGCAAGCCCGGTCACTAACCCCAACCCAACCAGCTTTGCGGTCTACCTGCCTGACCCAAGATGCCGTATTTACCCCCAGAAATGATTTCAAACAAGAAGTTAGGTCCTGGTGCATGCAGATCCAGTCACTAGACTATGCCATGATGATGGAAGAATGGGTGTCACAACAGTAGGAGGTGTGAGAAAACTAGCTAGGGACTGAGGCTAAGTCAGCAGTGAACTGGGTGACGAGGTGCCTTCTGGTCCTATGTACCCGAAGAACAATAAAAGTACAGCTGCTAAGGAGAAGAGCCTAATCTGGTGGGTCAAGCATTCCCTATACGAGCAGTTGATACTGCTGTAACCTATCTCAAATGTCATCTATAACATGTCATCACTGATTGTTGGAGCTCACTGAGAAGCTAGCTCTTGAGGTGGGTCTGCCTGCCCCTATTTCAAACCGAAGCATGCTTGCATTAGGTGTCCTCCAGAACACTTGTCTGGGAATGGGCTCTCCTCCCAACTTAGTGATAGAAAAGAAAGAACAGCAATACAGCCTAAGAGTAAAACCACTATGCTTGAGAACAGCCAGAGTGCAAACTTACCAGCAGTTACTATTGTTTATCCCGTGATAGGAAAATGCCCATAGCAGGAATGAAGGCCAGTTCACAGCCCTGGGGAGGAAGCTCAGGTGTAACCTGGGCTGCCTATCTCATCTTCCTCCACTGATTTCTGTGGGATGTGGTAAGCACCTGGCTTAATGGTGTTCTGCTGTCTGTCTGTCTGTCTGTCTGTCTACCTATCTACCATCTATTTGCTGTTTATTATTTTACTTTGGCTTGCTACATACTTAATCAAAAGTATGGCTATCACAGAACATTCTACACACCCTACAGAACAAGGAGTGTGGGGGATGGAGGGAGGATGGAAATGAGATGAAGAAATGAAGGCCATATTAAAGAGCAGGGTTAGCACAGGGCAGCTGGGGTCTCATCAGGGACCCAGAGCCACTGGCAGACATCACCTCAGACACATCCATGAAGGACAAGACAACCAAGGCTCCCATCTGCTGGGTTAAAAGTCCCTCCTGAGACACTGCTGGCCAGAACTGTCCACAGGTTTGGTCTAGAGCACAGGTTTCATAGGCGGTTACAGTTAAGCACAACTGCAATATGAGCAAGAACTTAAGAGCTGCTGCACTGGGAGAAGTAAGTGGGCATTTGTTTGTGGCCACACCTGGTAGTACTTGAACACACAGAAGGCCCATCCATCCTACTCACAGGGTGTGATAAAAATATCACTCTCCCCAATGCATAACAAAACCGAAAAGGAGCAAGGCTGGAATGAGAAGTGAGAAGGCTTGGGGGAGGGGGAGGAGTGTGGGAGGACTGCCAGACAAGGTAGGAAGGGCTGGCAGCATCATGGCTCCCCAGGCTCCATCCTCCCCAGGAGGCAGGACTGGATCAAGAGACAAAAACACATTTTTCAGGAAGGAAAGGGAGAAGATGTGTGAGGAGGAGCCACAGACAGATCCTGGGAGAGACCTGACCTCAGACACACAACCCCTTAGTCAGCTCTTCCACTCACACGAAGACCAACCAAGGGAGACTGTCCAAAAATGATGTGCTTTGATGTTCTCACAGCCCCAAACTGCAGCCCACTTCTTCTGTGAGCAGGGAGCAAGGGTTCTGAAGAGGAGCCCAGGTTTGCTTGCATTTGCTCAGCTGCTCTGTAACTCTGCCATGACCCTAGCTGGTAGCTGTTCCAGATGTGGGAGAGCCCCTAAGGAAGGCCTTGCTGCTGAGGATGGCTGAAGGGTGAGGCTAGCAGAGAACCCCAAGCGCACCGGCCTGCCCTCAACCTCCTATGTGACATGGGGCCTCACCACATTTCTTTTAGAATTCTTATGCTCCCCTGGGTCCCTGTACCATGGTACATGGCTCACATTTTTGTGACTGGCCTGAGCAGGATAAATGGACATGGGACATGAACCCAGGCTGGGACTGGCTAAACACAGCTAGGCTGATGGTCCTGGTCATGCTATAGAGAAGTGGGCGGGACAAAGGCTCTGAGTCCCACACCTGGGCTCGAGTGTTGTGCTATATAGTTCAGATGGAAGCTTGTCTGCAGGTATGGAACAACAGAGCTGCAACACGTGAATGAGCCACAGGGGCTGGTTGGATTTCAGTTTCCAAGGAGAGCTCTAGTTTGGAGGAAATAGAATTTAGAATTGAATCTGAATTGTGGTCATCCAAAGCCAGACTTGGGGGAGTCAGCTGAATTGGAAGAATCAGGCACAACTGGGTGGGGACTGCAGGCTGCTCAGGTCATGGGCATGGGGAGCTAAGATGAAAACCTTCCATTAGGGCAACACTGTTGGTGCTGTGGTGGGAGGACTCCACCAAGGCTGCTTCACACTTCTCTCAGGCATGGGTACTGGCACAGGATACCTCTGGGCCAGTGCGTGGCAGCCACCTGACATGACAGCAAAGGACAGAGACCAGTGCATGCAAAGAAACAGCCAAAGGTAATGAAGTCACAAGTGCTGAAGGGACCACAGCAAGGTGTAACCTCCCACCACACCCAAATCTCTCAACCCTCATAGGATGCTCTATGCCTGACACTGTCGGGTGCATTTCTCAGAATCCCAGCCAGTGAGTGGCAGAGCCAGGAGGCTTTCAAACCTCTCAAACCTTGGGCTCATGCCCAAATCTAGTAAGAGGTTCATTTACGAGAACACAAAGTAGAAGCTGGTGGCCACAGTTAGGACATCAGGAGGCATGCCTAGGAAGCCACTAAACAGATCCCTCTCAGCTGGAAAGATGATTGACATGTTACCCTAACTCTGGCTGGCACACCCAGGTGGTTCTTGCTTCTTAAGCAAAGGTTTTGCAAGAGGTACTGGGACTGTATTGCACAGGGATCTCATATCAACAGGAAGTTCCTAAACTAGAAATCCAAGTCAATGAGCAAGAAGAGCAAAAGGGTAAAACTCCTGGACCACAATGCAGGGATGGAGTCAGCTCACCTGTTCTCTCTATAACTCCTGGACCACAGTGCAGGGATGGGGTCAGCCCACCTGCTCTCCCTATAACTCCTGGACCACAATACAAGGATGGAGTCAGCTCACCTGTTCTCCCTGTAACTCCTGAACCACAATGCAGGGATGGAGTCAGCTCACCTGCTCTCCCTATAACTCCAGGACCACAATGCAGGGATGGAGTCAGCCCACCTGCTCTCCCTATAATTCCTGGACCACAATGCAGGGATGGGGTCAGCTCACCTGCTCTCCCTATAACTCCCGGACAACAATGCAGAGATGGAGTCAGCTCACCTGCTCTCTCTATAACTCCAGGACCACAGTGCAGGGAAGGGGTCAGCTCACCTGCTCTCCTTATAGCCCCCCCAAAGCCAGCTGTGAACTGTCCCTGACGGTATTCACTTCTAGTTGCCTCCTATATAGGAAACAAATTAACAAAAGAAGAGGCATCCTCTGAACTCTCTTTTAGTTGTCTTGCTGTGGTTGCCTACCTGGCAGAAACATTTCAACCTACTTAGGGTGTGGGGGTGGGCTGACAGAAAGGCAAGAGGAGAGCTGCAGCAGCTGGGGGCTGGGAATGGGACAGCAAGGCTATGGTTGGGTGCTGCCTAGGTGTTTCCAGGGCAGGACAGGCATCAGTTAAACTCCATGGAAAATGCTCAGGAGAGAAGCTGGGGTCAGATGAGGACTATGACCTCTGGAGAAAGGGCCCCTGGGTGCCTAGCCCTCAGGAAGGGAACTTGCCTTATCTGTGACATGGGCGTCACAGCAGCATCTCCTGTCACAGTCTGTGGTGAGGGCTAATTGAGATAACTTCTGGGAAAACTGGACCAGTGCCCTCCACTAGTAACTAGTGTTTACCAGCTGATAAAATAAGCCAGCAAGGGGACAACAAGGTCAATGGGCTGCTTGCAAGGCAGGGCCTGGGCTGTACGTGCACAGGAAGGTACTTAGGGAGACTAAAATGGGCTTTGAGGCCCAAGCCCCTGCTTCTCACCAGCAGGAAATACCACTTCCCACTCACAGTTGGGCTGAAACCTCCATGACACATTAATCCACCATTTCTCGAAGGATTTGAGTTTGCAGAAGAGGACAGGGTTCTGAGGAAACAGAGGCTGCAGGCCAAGTCGCTCTGAGTGTTAGGTGAGAGGTTCCAACATTTAGCCATAGGGGATCCCGGGCCTGGAGGGAGGCAAGGAGCCACAGGGCAGAAACAGGTGGTGGACATCTGAGAAGAGATTTAGGAGAGGTCTTCCAGGTCAAGGGTCAACTTCAGAAAGCAAAAAGTCTCGAGGTCTAGGAGAAAGATGGGTGCTGGGATGCATGGTTGACAGACTCGGGATTCAGAGCCTCCTTTTTCCTTAAAGTCAGATTCTGTGAGGGGTGGGGCTGTGGAGCCAGCATCCTGAGTGACACTTCCCATAGGGAAATCCTTAGCACCAAGCATTCATTCGGCCTTTTCACAGGGGGCTACAGTCCCTTCATAGAACAAGGACCTAGCTAGAAGCCGTACACAGACACTGGTTTCTTATCAATGGTGCTATTTGCCTCCCATGGCTCCTATCTTTTGCTCTTGGGATTCATGCCTGACCTGGGCCCTCATGTTTCTCTTGGTTCTACAGACACCCTTCCTCCTCAGAATTCACCATGCACACTCCCCAGCCCCAAGATGGAGCTTCTCAGGGGTCTCATGTAGATCTAAACCTATCAGGTGGAGCAGAAGTCTGCCGCAGGGGAATAAAACAATCAAGGTCTTGAATAAATGATAGCTCTACTACATCTCAGAATTGAGGCAGCCCCGGTCTCTTCTTCGGAGGGACCCTGCAATTAGATCTCAGAACTGACTGTCCAGTAATTTTCTTCCCATGAAGTTCTGATGTAGCCAAAGAAACCATTTTCCTGTTTCCTACTCTCTGAGAACCCCTTGTTACTTGCAAGAGGTCAGTTCCAAGCACTAGTTAATACAGCAGAACAGTCACTGGGGACATGATACAGAAAGGTCTAACCAGATGCTTTGTGGGCATTCTACTGTCGGGCAACTCATGGTCACCTTCCAAAAGCCAAAGAGGCCCCACGGCTAACGTAAGGACCTCACTGATGGGTGCGACTTCCAGGCAAAAGTAGAGAAAAGGAAACTATGAAAACTACAGAAGGCTTCAGAGGATCTTATCATTCTATTACACAGGAAAGACCAAATAGAGAGGTGTCATGGATGGATGTCAAACCCCACCTGCGGTCCTATGCCAGGTGTGCCAGCTGCTAGCCAGAGGTAGTAGGAGAGCTCACCTGACTCTTAAGACTGGTCAGAGCCTGATAACCAGGAAGTCCTAACAAATGTTGGTTATTATAGCTACGCTATTATGCAAAGCCATCAGTGCAATGGCCATTAGCAGAGATGAAGAAATCCCACACTGGTAGCCTCTGTCTGGGGGAGCATTTTCCCCATGGTGCCCATCTATCAACTGTATACACTCCCTGCAACCAGGATGTTTCCATCCTAGCAAGCAGAACACCCAAAACACCGCTCCTGCGTGGTGTCCCTTCACAGCTTTCTCACACTCTTTTTTTGGGCAGATAATCAGAAGTAGGCTGTCCAAGCTCACTGGAGAGTGGCTCACAAACACTGACTCTGAGAGGGCGGGGAAGTAAGTGCCTGACAGCACAGAGCACAGAATGAGATTGTTTCATCTAGAACCACTTTAGGAGTCCCTGAAAGTCAGTTTCACTGGCTCCATTCCTCCCACAATACACAGCTGCAGCAAGCAAATAGCGGTGCAACCCAGATAGCTGGCTGCTTGATAACTTTCTCTTGCTTGATGGACTGTTGTGTCTACATACTAGTCCTGTTTCTCTTTCCCTAAGAGGCCCTGGGAGTACTAACACGCTGTTAGCCTCTCTTTAAGCAGGTCAAAACACTCACTCCTTGAGAGCAGCTCTTCATGTCCATTTGATGGGTCACCCTCCGGTCCATCCAGTGTTGGGCTCGACTCCCGCAGTGGAAACTCGCCAGCCTCTGCCTCTTCTGAGGGAGTGGGAATGCCAGGCTGCTGGGTACTTTGCACCTCCGCTGTGGAGCCTGGGCTGGGTTCACAGCCCAGGGTTGTTAGGTTCACTCCCACGATGGCAGTATCCACATCTGCAGCCTTTGGGCTATCATTTTCCAAGGATGCATGGTCCCCAAAATGGTGCTTCACATCCCTGGCATCTGTAACTCTGTTGGCAACTGGCACTGAACGGCTGCTGCCTGCAGAGTTCACAGAGGACTGGTACTGAGGCACCACACAGACGAACTTCAAGCCCCGACTTGCAGCCTCCTGTACCTGGGAGACAAAGGAAAAGAAGATAGTTTTGTAAGTGGGATTTGGGCATGGCCAGGCACTGAGGCCCCTGTCATTCCTAGTATAAATGCAAGGAACATCAGGCTGTAGAGGCCGGAAGGACAAGCCAGGCCTGGTGGGTTTCACTGTTGGAAAAACTTAAGCATTGGGTTATTGAAGATCTCTCTCCTCCCCATCTCCCATCTCCCCAC